ATTACTACAATTAAAGTTTAAAAAATATTGTGTAAAAATATATGTAGTAAATATAATTGTAGTAATTAGCTACTTACAGCGCCAATCATTAAATCTATATCACTAGTGTTTTGAACTGTTAACCAAAAGTTTAACTAAAGCTGATCTGAGTAAACTTCCGAGTATTCCTAGCCAATTACTGATATTTGTTTACATTAGGTAAAATAGGATATATCAATTCTATTTTATTTAATATAAACAAACATTAGTGATTGGCTAGAAATACTCAGAAATTTACTCTGATTAGCCCCAGTTAAACTTTTGGTTGATGGTTCAAAACACTCTGATATATATTATACTATATAGAGTGCAGTTAATTAAAACATGGCTTATAACTTTTTTTCTATTTTGAGAAAATCACATTTGAAATTTAATATAACAACAATAATGATAATCTATTATTAGTATAATCTGTTTGATCTATATGAATTAGCCAATTATGCAAGCTCTTTTTTATAATTATTAGCAAAGATCAACAAGCTTATTTCTAAAATCTAATTTTAGATTGTTTCTATTTACATATAGTATTTAGAAAAATAGGCATCAACAAAAATTTTATTATGTAAATCAATACTTTAAATGCTAAATTATATGAGCTGCTATTAATAGAAATAAGGCAGATTGACATTTTAAAAAAAATTAATACTTTAACTTTCATATTTCATATCTTGATGAATTTTAAATCTATCTTGATAATTTAGTATTTAAAAGAAAGCTTAGATCGTATGCTTTCTTTTGAATAATAAATTATTAAGACAGCCTCAAAATTTATCGAGATATTGGCTATGAAAGTTAAGGCATTAATTTTTTTTAAAATGTCAATCTGCCTTATTTCTATTGACAACAGCTCATATAGTTAAATGTATGCTTTATTTGATAGTATTGTTAATTTATTTTTACAAAAAATGCTATAAGCCATGTTTTAATTGACCACTTCCTATATATTGAGTATGCTAGAGTGATTACCAAAAGTTTGATCAGATGATAAAATGCCACAGCCATATATATCTTAATAACCAGTAATATAGTATTGTTTTGTTATATAAGAAATTTTTACAACAATAAAGTTGGGCCCTGTCAGAGATCTAGACACTTTTGCAATAACGTGATGTGGTATATAGAAAATGACTAATCAGAATTCGTAAATTTCAATTGTCCTGAATAATGTTATTAGTCAAAATTATTTTTGCCAATGTTAAAATTTGTCTAAATTAAATTGTCTAAATGTCTAAATTAATTTTTTAATATTTTTTAATAGTAATTTTTAAAAAAATAACAATGTTAAAATTGCCTAAATTCAATTTGCCTAAATGCCTAAATGTCTAAATTATTTTGACTAACAACACTAGTCCTGGATCAGTCTGACGACAAAACAAAACACATGTGCAAGAAAAAAAAATCGAAAACTGGTGTTTAAATCAGCCTTTAAGTACTAACAAAAAGTGTCAGAAATGCAATTTTACATATAATATATAAAGCTAAAAACTCTAACACGAACCCTAACATGAACCCAAACCCAAACCCTAAACTAAAGCAAAAAAATATGCCACACCACATGTTGGTCATGTTACTGCAAAAGTGTCTAGACCCCTGGCAGGGCTATAAAGTTGTATATAGAAGTTAGATAATTTAATAATTTTCAAAGAAATTATGCTGTGGCTGTGGGATCTTATTATCTGACCAGACTTTTGGTGGTTGCTCTGGCGCACTCCTATATATCTGAAGCTACATAAAATTTTTACTTAAAACTATATCTATTGGATTATCAGTAAACTCGTGATTGACAGCCAATAAGAGACGCGGAAGCGAACAGACAGAATGCACGTGACAGTGTCGATCAAAGTCAGATGTAAAAACAGTACTCCGCTAAGTTTAGGACAATAAACAGAACTCCGGGATCGGTCACGATTAATTTGACCGCCCTATAAAAAAGTCGCGGAATTTATAACCTTAAATCATGGAGATTATTCGGCTTGTTTGCATTTTATTGATCATGTTGCAGATTTACGGAGTTTTCACGGATAAAATTTCTTACAGGACCGAGCGATCGGTCGAACCCATCTACCATCGGCCGTGAAGCTTTGCATTCTCATCATTCTTGTCCTATCACGGTTGGGATATATAAAAAATTTACCATCTTATTAATTAATAAATTTGATTGGTTGGCTCAATCGGAGTATTAATATAATCATCACATGACGATATACGTACGTACCTTAGCAACTTTGATTATTTAAATTTTTTTGCATATCTTGTGTAGCAATTTGTTATGTGACATTGCATAATGAGCAACCCTCTCCCAAAGAAATTGATTATTCATGATAAATGGAAAATAATGGCAACTTCTTAAATGTAAAAATGCTACTACGTATTCTGCAATTGTATAATTGCGCATAATATCACAATTAGAATTTGTTTAGGGGTTCGTCATTATTTCTTAAAGCCCAATTAAAATGAAATCGAATATATTTATTTTATATCGATACTGCTCGTTAAAAACAATCGAATTTTGATCAAACTAAATGAAAAAAGGCAATTCCCACATATATATATTGTAATAACAGATAACGTTACGTAGAAATATACCGTTTCATATTCATTCATTAATCAACTTTTTTGTACTCAATATTTCCATAATTAATTGCTATTTTTCTTTTATGATTAAAAACTCCGATATTGATACCTATATACATAATTTGGCATATAATGACGTCAGAAAAAACTATCTCTTTAAATATCTAATAAATTTCTCTCATCTATTCAAATTCTACTAAATTATTTCTCTCTTTTTTCTAAAAATATAAATGGAGTACTCAAATGTTGAATGTATTATTTGTGCAGAGAAAAAACCCATTAAATATTTTCCTGAAATTACAGAAAATTGTAAACATAATTCAGAAATATGTGCCGAATGTATTAATATTCATATTGAAAAAAATTTGAATAATATTTTAGAAATTAAATGTCCTTCTTATGAATGTGATGAAACTTTAGAACATAGTGATATTAGAAAATTAGCCACGGAAAAATTATATGAAAGGTTTATACATAAAATTTATATACATGTATATTTATTTGATTAATTAATTTGTTATTTATTTATAGATACGATGAATTATCTTTACGTAAAGCACTTCAAAGTATGTCAGATATCAGATTTTGTTTAAATTCCAAATGTGATTCCGCTCAAGTTCACAGTGGAGAGCGTAAGTCGCTTTAACTGTTTACAAGTTTATCTTCATTTTATGAGAATGATAATTTTTTATTTATTTTATCTTTTTTTTTAAAAAAAAAAAAGATGATTTACCAATAATGACATGTCCAAAATGTGGTTCAAAAGCATGCTTTACTCATGATGTACCATGGCATGAAGGTTTGACCTGTTCTGAATATGATCAAAGGAAAAACAATGAACAAGAAGTTGCCACACATAACTATTTGTTAAAAGAAACAAAACCCTGTCCGAATTGTGGTGTTCATATCGTAAAGAATGGTGGATGTGATCATATGACTTGTAAAATGCCAGAATGTAAATATGAATTTTGTTGGATGTAAGTAAAATTCATCTTTTTTATTATATATATATATATATAATAATTAGTTCAACCAATCAACCAACCAATCAATCAATCAATCAATCAGTATCATAAGCTGGATTAGGGGATCGCGTTCTATCATTTAAACGGATTTTGAATTTTAAACGACTTTGTTGTAAACAGAATTTTATCATAAATCGTTCACTTGTATATATTTTGATTATCAAGACCACTACTAGTCGATTAAGTAGGCTAAACCGATTTTATAACATCGAATTAGTCGGTCGATAGTTTAGACTTCGATACTAACGCTAAAGTCAATCTTTTTTTTTTTGATTAATAGATGTTTAGCTGATTATAATAGAATTCGTAATGATGGAAATCATAAACATAGATCTACTTGCACACATTATAGGAGGATAACTCTTGATAGTGATGATGAAGATGAGGAAGATGAGGATGTAGAAGAGGATAATTTTCTAGAAATTAGAGTACAAAATCCACTAACCCATGGTAAGTATAATCAATTATTAAAAAATTTTTATAACATAATCAATTCGTTATAAAATTTTTCTTATAATAACATTTGGTTATTTTTTAAGGTTATGGTCGTAAAATGTTTACGGATTACGAGATTATTTGTTGGGTATGCTATGAAATTCTATTCTCATACACATATATAATAAACTATTTTTTATTTATCAATGCGAGATTTTCTTTTTCAGTGTTGTTGTATATAGATATAAAAAGTAATATATCTATTTGTCTATTTAATTTTAGACGAATATTCCAACTTTTCGACTAAGACGATCATCCGTTAGAAGAAGATACAGTGATTTTGAATGGTTTTATAAAGCCCTTAAAAAGAGATCATCCGGTGTGAATATTCCTCCTTTATCTGGAAAGGTATTCTTCAATCGTTTTTCAGAAAGAGTCATTGAAGTTCGTAGAGAGGGATTTGAAAGATTTTTACAGGCGTATGTTTTTTTTTTTACAATTAATTAATTATTGTGGGGCACAATCAATTTGCATTAAAATATCTTTATAATTATTTATTTAGTGTTGCCGAACATCCTCTTTTACAAACTGAAAGTCAAATCATATCAGCTTTTATTCAAGATTCTAATTTCAATCGTAACTATAATTACGGTCAAAATTAAAGATATCGAAACCCGATCCATTTAAACACGAGTTTTTTTAATTACATGAATGTAATTATACGTTCAACTTTAGAAACTAACTTTTTTTAAAGAAATTTGTTATAGAATCCGGTATAGAAATTTAGTAAATCACTATATTTTGAAATAAAGAGAATCGATTTTATAATGTAAAACTTATTGTGCTCAAATTGAGTTCGAAATCAATCTATAAAACAGAAGAGCTTTGTTTGACAGCGTATAAAATTTTTGGGTAATGTAATCTACTCCTTTTCTGGAGATGTTTTTTAAGCTGGGACTTAAAAATCACAGCCGGAAGTAGTAAATTTTTAATAGTAAAAATAGCTAATAAAAATTTTTTTAATGAATACCTGCGAATACTCGAATATCGAATAGTTGATTAGTTTAGAACATTGATTGAAACCGATGCCTGATGTACACATACTGTTCTAAACTAATTGAGTATTCGCAGGTATTATTACTGTATTACCGCGAAATAACGCGCTGGGTGAAATTATGAATCCCGGCCTAATTAAGCTTAATTCGGGCCGAACCTTGAAATAACGCCTATGGTCGTTATTTTGCAGTAATACTGGTATTATCTTTATTTTTTTTTTCATTGTTTATTTTTATTTTTTTACTTATTTATTTCTAATTGTTTGTTTTAACTATTATAGTTTTACGTATATATCCCGATCTAGATCTATGATGAAGCATTGTAAGGAAACATATATTAATAAGTAACATTTATACGCTGGGTGGTTGGGTATAGGCGAAAATTTACTGAGAACCGACGTATCGGAGCCAATACACCTGTTGTACTTTGCAGTAAATTCTCGCCTATACCTGACCGCCCAGCATATATCTGAATTATTCTTTGCCATCCACGTTATATACTTTTTCGAATAGGATGTATTTCATGCGTTGGAGTGTTATATCCAAGGGTAGATAAAAAAAGTAATGGGGGTTTCAAAATTAATATTTACATAATGTATTAATGTAAAGAATTCTGATATAAAACTTACTCAATTTCCGGTAACTTACAGTACGTGGGAATTAGAATGATTTCTATTGTCTTAGTCGCTATTCCAGTGATACATTGTATGTGGGTAAAGCTGAGTTAGCTTGCAGTGAAATTATCATGATCTCTATCATGAGTTACTGTAAAAAATTTAAACAACTTTCAAAGTATGTAGAAAAGTTGAGTTAGTTTGATTAAAATGTTATTTACACCATGAGTTACTGTAAAAAATTCTGATACAGAACTTATTCAATAATCCGGCAACATAAAGCACGCACGTGGTTAAAGTAGTTATTTTGCATTGGAATTATAATGATTTCTATTGTTTTACTTGCCATTCCAGTGATACACTTTATGCAGTGAAATTATCATGAGGTACTGTAAAAAATTCCATTACATAACTTACTGTTCCGGTAATACACAGTATGTGATCGAAGGTAGATTCCATTAGAGCTATCATGATTTCTTTCATGAGCGACTATAAAGAATTCCATTACACAACTTACAAAGCATGTAGCTAAAGTTGTGGTAGTTTGTACGGGCTAGTTGGGAACTTCCAAATGGCTATATTTGCCTACGAACAAAATGAAATAGACCCGAAAATGACGAACAAAATGAAAATAGACCTGAAAATAAATTGGCACGCTTTGTTATATTTTTAGTAGATAAAATCTATAATCAAAATGAAGAAATCGCTTTTGTTAAAAAAAACTTGTTTTTTTTTTATTTTTTCTCAATTTTTTAATTATTAATTTAGAGCACGTAAGCAATAGCAGATAAAATTTTATTAAGAGAAAGTGCAAATATATACTCATCATACTTATCCATTGATTGCAGGGCAGAACGTCAAAGCCTAGCAAGTAAGGCTCGGCAGAATATAGGAGTGGACTGGAAAAAATTGATGCAGTGGTGTTAGTAGAACATAAAAAAATCAATGAGCTTCTATATGTTGAATGCTTACGTATCCTCTGCAGCAAACAAAAAAAAACGGATGATAGTGTGGAGTTGTGGAGAGAAACGCTAGATGGGTTGTGTTTTGTTGGTGCATCATGTAGACCGATGGCCAACCAATTCGGCGTTGTAGGTAAGGTTGCGGATACTGTTATGTATTTGAATATACTCGTTAAAGATTTAGAGGGATACCACGCTATTTTCATCTGAACCATGCGGAAATTCCACTATCACCAAGCACACAACAAAGTGTAAACTCTTGTTAACTCTGCGGGTAAGACATTTCAAATATATTAAACGCATAAAGTCTTTATTCTGTTATAATTGGTTGACTATCCATGTTATGAAAACAGAATATTCTTATTGTAAATAAAAGCCTTCTAATGCAAGCATTGGAATGAGCAGACTCGCTTCCACATGGAATGTTCAACAAAACCTACTGTTTCTTCACCGCATAGAGAAGAGCAAGTACAAAAAGGCCAAGAATGATGATAAAACCAGAAAATTAAAAAGGCATAAAAGTACCAATTTTAAAATATATTAGAATTCAATAAATTTAGATATAGTTAAGTTATTTATATCTTGTAATTTTTGCCGTATTAATAAAGCTGGATATGGTAGCTGTTTTCGCATACATAATTGCAAATTTACTACAGTATTAGGGTTTGGGTTTGGGTAATTTTGTTTAGATTTATATTATATCTAATTTTGAATTTTAATTTAGCATTTACTTTTGCACGGAGTGCCTTATATTAAAAAGGCCCATTTGACATATACCTCATTTTGAGATAATTGGGTTTAATCATTCGTTTTGATTTTCGGTCTGATTCAGGATTGAGCAATTTTCACGATTTTGGTTGGTTAAAGATAGCAGGTTACTGGTGATCTCTTTGGCTATATCTTTTTATTATAGTGCTGGTAGCCTATATTCAACAGTTGCACAAAGTATTTCAATTTTTAAATGGCTATCACTTTTTATCTAAGAGGTTTTAAAAAAATTTAACTAATAACTTTATAAAGCTATATTAGCTTTAATATGTGCCAAATATTTTTTCAAAATCTTATCAGTGTAAGAAGTTAATGCATTTAAAAATTGAAACTTTATATATAAATTTATAAATTTATATATAAAATTTCAATTTTTAAAATATATTAAGTGGTAAATCATTTTTAAAAGTAATAAAAAATAATAAACCTTAGATTATGCAAAGTTAATTAATTGGTTCTCGTAACCCAACCAGGTCAAATTTTGAAAATTTTTATAAAAAAATTTTTATATGTTTTAATAACTGAGTAAGTTTTTAAAAAATTTCTTAAAAAATTTTATAAATTGTTATATATAAAATTAAAAATAAAAGCTAGCCAGCCAGGTTTATTTAAAAAGTTTCATGTTATGAGAACCAATAAATTAAATTTGCATGGCCTTATATAATAAATATTTATATATTTTTTTTATAGTGCAGAAATCTGGCTTGCTTATATATAAAAGTATTTTTTTATTAAGTAACTCTTTTATATTGTTTAATTGAAAGTTGTAAAGCTATTTTTGTAATTCTAATAGTAGTAAAATTATTATTATTATTATTATTATTATTTAATAATTCAACAGTCATGCCTTAACTTTATTAGGCTTTGTATAACTCATCTAGAATATGTAAAATTTTACAACTAAGCATTTTAGAAGGTAAGTGATAAACTCTTAACTTGTTGGCAGATAGCATATGAGAACTATCTCTAAACAACAAGCGTCGTAGCCCAAATTGTTATCTAAATTACAAGTTATAACTAATCTGGTTACCAACTTGGTATCTATATTTGACCTGCTATAGTAGGATTCTCCTCCTTCTGGACCTCTCCTGCAATTGGATATGACCCAGATTTCAACAGATAGTACCTACTACCTGTCATGACTATCTCTCTCTTCTTTTAGGCTTTTTTCACCTAAGCCTGACAACATAATTAAACTCTTATTTGTATATAAAAGTAAAAAAAATAAAGCTATATTTATGAAAGATATAAACATTTTAGAAAAAAAACATCTTATAGTAAGAAAAAAACTAATTCTAAAATAATTTAATATAAATAAACAAAGATAAAAAAAGTTGAAAAAAAAAAGATAGTCATAATACACTATTATAGTTTGTACTAGATATAAGGGTATTATATAATAATTGCAACTAATTACTATATCTCGATTGTAAAAACTTTGTTTTAATCTTAGAACTTGTTCCAGACACCAACTCAACTCAGGTATCTTCTAAATAGAGATGATGATCTCTTCTCTAGTGATTTAAGCTATAAGGTTTAGTCGGCTAGCTAAGCCAGCTGACTAAAATATCGGCTAATCGGCTGGCTAAATACTATACATTCAGAAATTTTCAGTAAATTTAGCTTGTATTTTATGTTCATTTATTTTCTTTTTCAGAATTTACCATAATCCTACTATATACTAAATTATATCATTTTTAGCTACATTAGCCAGCTGATCATATTACATTGGCTGGCTCAGCCGGCTAAGCTAGTTTAGTTGCAGCTACTATAGCTGGCTTAAATCACTACTCTTCTTCATACTATAGCATGTATTCACAAAATAACAAAACATGTAGTTGCTTTTTACTAAGTTCATCCCAATTTGGTAGATATAAACAATACCAATCTTTTGGAGGAGGTAAGCCAAAAAGCCCACTTTTTGTTAAAAATTTTGGTGAGAACAGCAAAAAACAAAAACAAGAGAAAAACCTCTTAGTATCATTTAAAAGAAAGTGAGTTACTAAAAACAACAAAAACAGTCTTCCACTCAGACAGTGCACTACTTGAATTTTGTCAATAAGTGATAAATTATGAACTTGTCAGCAATAGCATATAAGAACTACCTTTAAATAACAAGCACCGGGTTTGCAGTAAGTGATAAACTCTAAAACTGTTGGCAAGTAGCATATGAGAACTACTTCTAAATAACAGGTGCTGTCTTACAGTCTCTTTTTTCTTTGATTTATAACCTGGGATGTCAGTTTTTACTATTTTTGTTAAA